GGCCGGATATAATTACACGCTGGGCCGGATGTGGCCCGCGGGCCTTGAGTTTGACACATATGTCTTAGAGCCACAGTACTGTTTTAAATCAATACATTGTGATTTGCCTCCTCTACAATTATATTTTGAAATGGCAGCACTTCAATATTTGAGAAGATATTAAATCATCAAGTAAAACCAATAAAAAGTCTTTAATTCTTCCATAGAAGAATCTAACCTTTTTCAGAGCAATATCATGATTGACCCATCTTCTACGAAGATGAACTATCTACAGTATATGGATCTACATCTATCCATTTAAACTGCATTTTTATCCAATTCGGTTAAATGCGGAGAGGCCAAGCAGGGAGTGATTATATGGAAGCAACATGGCCAACTTCTAGGTGTCTCTATTGGTTGCTTTCAGCAGGGTTCATCCTATGAAAATAATCAGCATCACTTCATGTCTTAATAGAAAACGAGCTGGTGGACACCAGCAGGAAGGTAGTCAAAACTGGGCCACTGAAGAGCGAGAGAAGCTATCAGTGGGAATGGACAAACTCTGAGATTTACAGAAATACAAAAAATATTTAGAAGATACCTGAAGAAAGGAGAAAAATCCACCCCGTAAAGCCCAGTGAGGACACAGAATACTGAGAGAAAAAAAATGAAGGTAGAGGAAGATGAGGAGTGGAAATGGGGATGGGGTGTTAAGTCAGGTCATCATGGCTGGATGCTAAGTCATTTTGATGTAGATCTCTCAAACTAATCTCAAGACAAAGTGAAAGAGTACTTTGTTCAATTTTGTCTCAGCACCGAATTGTGAGTTACTAAAATTTACATTAGAGCTGTGCAGAGTTGATCTTTAAAAGCTGCTTCAGAGTGCATAGGAATATGAGCATAGCACCTGTTTGCAACAATTTTAAAAAGTGCATCTTTTCTTGATATTCTGACTGGGAAAAATGGCATCTTCTATATGTTTGCACACTTGTGCACTCCAAAGCACATTTGGAAATTGAATCCAAAACATTCACATACCTTGTGACAGGGTACTTGGGGTGAATGGCCTGATAAACAAACAATGGTTTTCCCACTATTTGCATCTTAATTACTATAGTTAGTTAATTAGTTAGTTAGTTAGTTAGTTAGTACCATCTCACCGGGGTCTATAGTGATCCACTGCCAGGTTACATGAGTTGGGCTCAGCTCTTCAATTATTCTGGGCAGTGTTGGTCCAGTTGTCTTGTGATATCTATGCAACCATATTCCAAACAGCAGTCTAAGTTATATTGTGTTTACCAGAGATGAAAGGAAAAAATAAGAATCAACCTTTATCTCTGAAAAATGCACTGAAATTTTGGAGAGAACAGAAATGTTAATTAAACAATGTATTTCTGATTGGAAGAGGCTCCTGGAGAACTGGATCTCAACAAAGGCCAAGCAGATTTGGATATGGTCAGCACTTGGTTGGGAAACTACCAGGAAATCCCAAGGCTGTATCCTGGAAGAAGGCCAGAACAAACCGCATCTCTCTTTATGCCAGGAAAACTATATGGATGCGTTCATCTCATTGTGAGCCCAGGAGATTATTTATTTTCATCATGTTGGAAAAAAAAAGAATGAAGTTGCTGAGGAAATGAATGAAGGTCATTAAGGACAAAATCTAATTGTAGCGTTTGACTCACTGACCACAGCGGAACTCAAAAGTGATTCATTATGGGCATATCCCAAATATGATAATATTAACAATAACAGCACTTTTCTGATTGGGTTGTTTTTGTAGGAACTGGGCTTTATTTCTTTATTGCTACTGTAATTTGCCTGATGTCTCTAGAGGATGGCAGTATTCATATGCTTGTATAAATAAATAAAATAAGCGATATATTCCGACGTGACCTTCTAAGATTCTTCTTCATTTAACTCCCCATTCTGCAGCTTAAATGGAAACTCCATCCAAGAGAACTTGTTTGCTCCCAGCTATCAAATGCTCGCTCTGCTGAAATTGGCTTGATACCACCACTGTGATCTTTCTATATATGATGATGATGATGATTTGCCCTTTAAATCATTATTACCTTAGTCTCTCTTTTCAACTGGTAGAATTAAATCTTGCTTACTGGCTTTAGCTCTTTTATTTTTATTGCATTTTATCTGATTTCTGAGACCTGGTTCTCAGATTGAGAAGATGTCTAACACCCAATTCCAAACCACCAGCTGGTGCCATTTGCTGCTCCTTCCCAAAAAAGACAATCCCTTATATAGAAAGTTTATGAGGAAGAGTCCAAACCTTTTTGCCCTTACTTCATTATACAGAGATATTTTTTTTCATATGAAAATAGAATACTCACTGGAATTTTGCTGTTGCTACTTTAACCTACTTCTTAAAAAATCTTATTAATAAATGATCTGAGAGATTGTTCTTGGGATTAACTGATTCCATCTGAGGCTGCTATCAGAGAGGATGACTTTGCAACTCTATTATTATACTCTCTGCACATGATTTCCATTAGATTCATTTTTTATTTTTTTTAGATTTTATAGTACAGGGATTTTTACAATTTTTAATCTAGGAGACCTACAGAATTTAGTTTTATAAGTACTTTGTAATTGGATTAAATTATACAACACAGTGGAACCATGGTCAGATTTCCAGTTTTATTTTTACTTAAAAGCATTTTATGGATTTTGTTGAGAGCCATGGGTCATTACGGAAGGTGTGCTACTTTATTTTCTTTCTATCATTTTTATGATCTAATTAAACAAATTATTCTTGCTCCCATATAGCAGTCAACAATACTACCTTAAGAAAATAATAGGTTCAAGTTTAGTACCTGTATTTTTCAGCTGCAAGTCTAAGATCTATTTCAAGGAACAGAGTAAAACATGGAAAACTTTATAACTGGAATACTGGAATACCAGGAAAACTGATTTCTATCTTCACTGAGACTTGGCATTCAACTGAATTGTACCCAAAAGAAATAGAATTTTTACAGTACTGAGAACAGCTGGTTTATAAATAAATGTCTTAATGCAGTAATTATTCATTGTTAATATTATCACAAACAATTTTGAAGGGAAACTTATTATTCAGTAGAATGAATTAGTAAGGTCACAGAGTAAAGTGCTCAAGTTTCAGTATTTTTTTAAATTTTATTTATTATTAAATTTGTATGCCACCCATCTCCCCCCAACTCTCCCTTACATATAAAACTAAGTGAATAAACAAGTATATGCAAAGGGTTATTCTGAAGGGTTAAAAATAATAGATAGATAGATGATAGATAGATAGATAGATAGATAGATAGATAGATAGATAGATA